AAGGCCATTCCTGAAATCGATTATTACAACTGTTTCGAAGATTGGAAAATCCGTTGGAATAAGTGTATTATATCAGGGGGGGATTACTTTGAAGGGGACGAAATTGATTTGCAAGAATAAATAAAGAATTTTCGAAATAAATGCAATGTCACCTTACTTTTTGGACACAGTAGTATGTTACATGCAATATAACATGTTACATGTTATATTATACATTACATTGCGTTACATTACGACAATGCAACAATTATATTATTGTATTTGCTATTGGATACTTGTTACTCTTTATTTTAGCATTTGATGTAATTTGAAATATTTAAATATTTTCGAAGTATCAAAACAAATAAAGAATAAGGCAAATAAGAGCTAACCGCCAATCGTAAAGGCGAAATTCACAATTTAATAAAAGCCAATGTGATACATTAATTTGTATTTATAAAAAATTCAGACGTTGTGATCCAAGTTTCGGAACCTCTTCAGTGATAATGTAATACAAAAAACATAGTTTCAATCAACATCGCTTAAATCGCATTGAAAAGCATTGATGAACTATATAACGGCAAACCATATAAAGCGAATGTAAAATTAAATCTAACAGACTGACGTGGCCCGACAGTCAAATTACCAGACTCAACAAACATGGTTTGTTGAAATGTTTGTATAATTCATAAGTGTGGTTCATAAGCTTTTCAATGCAACTTAAGCGATGTTGATTGAAATTATGTTTTTTGTATTACATTATCACTGAAGAATTACATTATCACTGGGTCCGAAACTTGGACCAAAACATCTGAATTTTTTGTAAATACAAATCAATGTATTAGCATTGGCTCTTGTTAAATTGGGAATTTCGCCTTTATGATCGGTAGTTGGCTCTTATTCTTTGTTTGTTTTTATTGTTGTTTCAAAAGTTTTCAACTTTTTAATTTTTGAGGTGTACTTTTGGCAATTTCAACGACTTTAAATAAATTTCCAACGACTTTAAATAAATCCTACGTAAACGAGATCTATATTAGAAAATGTTAGAGTTGACAACATGAGTATATAATAGCATATGTGAATTTTGCACGAAGCGCTTCCAACTTGTTTTCAACGCGTTCCTTGTTATAAAGGAGAGACAGGTACGTCGAATAAGTGCAAGTTATATTTTATATAAGATATCTTTTAAAAAAATACAATTTTATACTACAATCTATCTAACAATAAAATTAATTAAAGATACTTTCAAACTATGTCATTAAAAATTTGCTTACATCATATGCTTTATGTTATCAAGCTGCTAGTATCTTGCACCTTTAAATATGCATTCAAAAGCAGGTTTTTTTATAGATAATCATCAAAATGGCGATGATAACGAGTTATTGGACTTTGGATAGTCTAATGATTCTAATAACACTCGTGCTGGCCGCATATCTTTATATGACTCGCAAATTCAACTACTGGAAAAAACGAGGCGTTTTCGAGATAAAACCGTTGCCATTTTTCGGCAATCTCATGAACACTATGCTTTTTAAAGAATCTTCTGGATTAGTTTTGAAGAACTTGTACAACAAATCAAAGGGGCAACGTTATATAGGTTTTTATGTGCTTGACAAGCCTTGCTTGTTGATACGCGACCCAGAAATAATCAAGAACATACTAGTAAAGGATTTTAATAACTTCTGTGATCGAGTAAGCTATACTCATTCAAATGATCTCATGGGTCGCAGTAGTCTCCTACTCTTGAAAAATCCAACATGGAAACTTTTAAGAAGCAAGCTAACACCAATGTTCACATCCGGCAAACTCAAGAAAATGTTCGATTTGTTGATGAAATGCACTGTTAATCTAGACACATATCTCGACACATTGGGACTAGATGGTAAATACTTTGCCAAATATAAGAACAATTAATTGATCGTAAACATTGAGCTTTTTAAAGTTCGATTTCACAAATAATAAAGAAGAGAGAACGCTTTAAATATATAATGGAATAAAATAATAAGCTAGTAAAAGTCAGCGCGTTGTTATACAAGCGTATATTAATACAATAAAAGCACGACTTTAAATTATATAAAATGTATACTTTTCGGTCCTATTGTTTGGACTTTCCTTAGTAAAAATCATAATATAAAAATTAATACAGATAAAAACTGTCAAACAATATATTATAAAATAAGTTTAAAAATTATGATTGTTTACTCGTGATAAAAATAATACGTTTGTAATAAGATGACCACTATTTAATGAATTAATTCATGGAATGTTTACAGAAAAGGAAATAGCGATGGATGTGAAGGATATATTTGGAAATTTAACCACGGACATGATCGGTAGCACTGCTTATGGACTCAATATTGATTCAGTGAACAATCCAGAATGCGATTTTCGTAAGAAGGGGAGGGCGATATTCGAATTTGACATCTTGCGCGGTTTGGAGTTGTTTGCAATTTTCTTCTATCCGGATATATCCCGTTTGTTCCATGTAAATTTTTTTGGTAGACAAAATATTCACTTTTTACGCAATGTTTTCTGGAACGCAATCAATGGTCGCATAGAGTCTGGTGAAAAACGAAACGACCTCATCGATATTCTGATTGACTTTAGGAAAGAATATGTCAATCAAGATTTGGGAGAGTTCCGTAAGTAAAATATGGTCAATAATAATAATGTGTGTGTGTGTGGCGCTTTTTCGTATTATGAAAGAAAATTCTTGAATTATATATTTAATTCTTATATATACTTGACTGTTTAAGAAAAGTTTGTAAATATTTCAATAATCAAAAATTAATTATAAATTCTATCATAAAATAAATTATAAACTCAAATAGATTCCTGATTCTTTTCGGAACTTAAAATCAGGTATACCAAGTTGACGGGAGCTCTGCAAAGTCCAGAAATATAAAAATTGTTTATGTCTTTATATGTGTACTATATATGTGTTATAAAAATTGTTTATGTTTTTATATGTGTACTATATATGTGTTATAAACGTTATGTACTATATAACGTTATATATGTTATATGTGTTATAATATATATTATAAACGTTTATGTACTATATATGTGTTATAAATTTTAGAAGTTAACGGAGATAGCTTAGTGGCGCAAGCGGCTATATTCTTTACTGGCGGTTTTGAGACCAGTTCATCCACAACCTCTTTCTTATTATACGAAATCGCGGTGCAACCAGAAATCCAAAACAGACTTAGGGAAGAAATTCTCGATGCGTTCATAGCAAACGATGGAAAAATCACATACGAAATGGTATGTATGATTATATTTATGATATATGTATATGTGATCATATATATGCACATACACACATATATATGTATGTGTGTGTGTATGTGTGTATAATATATTGTATACAAGGTCGATTAGTATTCAATAATTTTATTAAATAATGACATTAAATTATAATAAATAAAACGCTAATGCTTTCGACAGTAATACTGTATAAGATAAGATAAAACGATAAGAATAATAAGAATGTAAAAAAAATTGAAATAGAAAGATACATCCATAATTTGCAATCAATCGGATACATCTATGAAATAGTACGAACACTTTCGTACATCTATGAAATAGTACGAACACATTCTTTTACTCTAATAATTACCATAAATAAATCACCATAAAATTAACGTGGCATGTAAAATGGCATGTAATCTATCTTCTTAACCTACATTCCTTCATGATTTTACATATCTGCTCAATTGTGGTTGCAAATTTTATTTTATTGATACATCTATTTATTTCTGTATATTTCGTAAGAATTTTTAGCGTGTGTTTTCACGCTTCTGATGTCACAAGTCAAAATAAAATATTACTGAAAAAGTTTAGGAAACTTAATGTTCAATAAATGAAATGATTATAAAATGAACGTTTATTTATTGCCAGATTCTGTCATTACCGTATCTTGATATGGTGTTTTCTGAAACCTTAAGGAAGTACCCAATATTGACCACTCTAGATCGCGAAACGCTGGACACTTACAAAGTGGCGGACTCCAATCTGGTTATCGAAAAGAATATGCCGGTTTTTATTTCATTACTTGGCTTGCACTTTGATCCGGAATATTTTCCCAATCCTGAGAAATATGATCCAGAACGATTCAATAAAGAGAATATCCATAAAATACCGCCTTACGTATATATGCCATTTGGAGAAGGTTCTCGCAAATGCATAGGTAAGATATTTTTCTTTTTGATATTAAGGAAGGATTTTAGAAATTTTAAATTTCATGAAATTTTTTGGAGTCGTCTGATAAAACGTAGGAAACAAAAATGTTACCTTAAGTAAATTATTGATGAATAAACTATAATGGAAAAATTTTTCAAAATTTCGTAATCAGAAAATATCTGTGTGCAATGGTGCTACTTTTAAGTTTACTACAAAATAAATTAACAAACATAAAGAAAAGTATACGACTTTATAATTATGATAATCTGAGATTGATGGGAATTATGAATGATAATTATAGCGGTACAAAAAATTTCCATTGGCTCGAAACGTTCGTCTAGTTTCATCCTCATTTACTAGAGCATCCTCATTTCAGAAATAATCTCACTGTGCTATTGTGCATCCCACAGGTGCTCGTCTGGCTATTTTGCAGACAAAACTAGCGCTAGTCAAATTCCTGAGGCAATACGAGGTAACACCGTGTGAAAAGACTCTAATACCGATGGTTATCGATCCGAAAGGTGCTTCCGTGACGTCGCCATTGGGCGGCAAAATATGGCTCAACGTACGAAAGATTAAAACAAGTTTTAATTAAAATCTGACAACATTTATTTTACATCAGTATACGATCATTGAATGTATCAAATTCATTTGATATGTTAAACAATAAGATATTCCGCTGATAACATTCCAATGATAATATTCCGATGATAACATTCAAAAGGAATATGATATAAGGAATGCATAATAGATCATTACTTCTTGAATAACAATAACAATAGTGAATAGTTTTTAAAAATTAGTAATACTAACAGTGTTTTTTCTATAAGTAAAACTAAAGCAACGAATAACAATGTTAGATATAAAATGTATGTAACTTGTATGATGTAACTTTTCTCATATATCTTGTATAATATAATATAATTATTGTACTATACATACATACACATACACACATACAATATACTGTCGTGCCCCGTGTTGCCGGGATGTGAAAGAGTTCGGAATCAGCGATGCGGGCGCGGCAGGGTGTGTGGCGGTGGGTAGGAATGTAGTCAAATGTGTAGCCACTACTTGTAATTAATATATAAAAAGCTTTATTTATAACCGTACTTGGACGTGTGTGATTATTACTCCCGAGTTCTTGTAGTAATGTACGAACCGCGTGTCGGTCACGTATGTAGCGGGCGAGAGACCGAGGTATAAAGTCTGACGCGGGCGGTCTTCTCCGCTTTTTTATAATATTGTTTAGTCTTGTCGTGGAGGGGGTGCCTGGCGACAAGAAGATTACCATATTTGGTAATAGTTTAATGCGTTTCGAATCGAGGTCCGAAATGCGGAATGTGCAAGGTGGTGCTTAGCGCAGCACTTGCACATCCGCTTCCTTGTTGTAGCGCAATCAAAACGATTCCTCATGAAGTGTTTCGAAAGCGCTAATAATATTCGCGATTATAACATCCCTCCTTCCTTGGGAAAAGAAAACGGAGTGTCTAGCGAGGTTTTCGCAACCTTATTCTATGTACATTTTTCTTTTGTTTTCGTTTACAATTATGGTTATAATCGTTTGTACTTGTTATACTTTATTATATCGTATTCGTGTTATAAATTTGTTTTCCCGTATATAAATGTGATTACAATCGTGTACTATTTATGCCTTATGCGTATAAGCTGTGCCTGCGTGCTAGCGCAGAGATTGTGGGTATTATCGGTTTAGAACGTGTTCTTACATTGTTTTCGGTACTAGGTAGTGGTGTGAAAGGGGGTTGTGTTTTCTTTTTTATTTTTCTTACTATTATCATTATTATTACAATTAAAATTATAAATACTGTTACGCTGGGCGCAGTGGTGTAAATTATATTTATGTGGTTTGACCATGGGTTTTGGTCTAGATTCTCTTGTATATCGGCTAGTTGCGCTTTTAGTTGTAGTAGTTCGGACAAGTTTTGCGATATTTTTGTTAAATTTATGTTTAGTGTTGTAATTATATTTTCTACCGTGTTTTCCGGTGTAATTGTCAGGTTATAGTTTGATATATATATTTCTAATATGTTATTTGATATTATTTTCTGAGATTGTATTATAGTGTTTTTTATAGTTAGTTTACATTGTTATTTAAGTGTAATTATTCCCGTTTTTGTTATCTTGTTTTGGTATTTGCTATTCTGATCATATATACGTAATTGTTGTGTGTTGTGTGTTGAGTATAACCATGCGTTTTTTCCTTTTAAAGGAATTAAAATTGTGTTTTCGGCGGTGATATATTTTGTTTTACATATTTCTTTATTTCTTTGTATACATTTGGATTTCCACGGTGTTGTTTGGTGAATTTTATAAATTGTGTTTTCTTGTGCACACGTGTACTGATTTTTTATGTGAATACATTCTAATAATTCGCTTTCGTGTAATGTAAGGTAAGTATTTGATTCTGTATCTATCGCGAATTTAGAGTATGTTGTTTCTGTTAACATGAACGTGTTGTTTATTTTGTGTACTGGGAAGAATATAGTGTTGATAATTGTGTAGTGGTGATAATTGTGGGATATGTTATTAGAGGAATTTTCAAAATTGTGTAAATCGTTTCGTTGTTGTAGTATACGCTGATTTTAATGAATTTTTCTATTTCTAGCCAGTGCTCCATGGCAAGTGTAAATGGAAAATATATGTTTTTAGGTAAGTGTATTGTTGATTCCTTAAGTTGTGCGATTATATTTTCAATGGGTGTAAATTGGGGTAGCAATCTTCCCAACTTGGCGTTATCTATGTATAATATTATGTCATTAATGTCTTTCGTTAGGTCGTTTATTACTGCGTTAAGTATCGTGTAGTGTTCAACAATTTGTTCTTTTTTGTAGATTTCCGCTTCTTCTTTATAAAATTGATTCATACTATTCCATTTTATTTTGAAATTATTGTCTAATGTTTCTTCTATGTTACCTAAGTGTCCTATAGTTTCGTTTAGAATTTGTACTGATTTTTTATTGCGTGTTGTATCGTTTCCTCTTTGTTTTGTAATAGATGTAATTGTTCGTTTATAATCTTTTCGTTGTCGGCATCCATCGTTCCAAATAAGGATTTGGCTATTAAACCTACTCCATCTATTAATCCACGACGTAAGTTTGAAGTGGACTTATACATTTTGTTTATGCTATTGGTTAATTTTCTTGCGCGTTGTAGATCTTTATTGGCTAGGTTATATAAGTTAGTGCACATTTGCCACATTGTGCCTATCTTTTGCTGTATATCGCATATTTTTTATGTTCTGACGAGGTAGGTTTGTATTTGTGAAATTCGTTGTGTTAATGAGCCTGTGTTGATTTCATATTTGGATTTTAATTCCTTGCGTTTCGTATTACGCGCCTGTTGAGCGTCCTTTGACTTATCCTTTAACCTACCTTTTTTCTTTCTTTTTGACGTAGCCTCTGGCGCGCGTTTATTATCTTGAACATTCACCATCATTCCTTTCTCGTCTGTTTTAACAGATGTTTTAACGTCGGTGCCTTTGGCATCCGATTTGAACTGAGTAAGATAGCTGTTGTCGCTTACCGACACGTTTTCTTTAGCGAAATGTTTCCTCTGCTGGTTGGGCGTAAGTTTCCGCTATAGGTTCGATTAGAGATTTGGATGAAGAGTCTATCTTGAGTTTATCCTCTTTCCCGGTCGATTTATTTTTATTCTCGACTGGCAGTGGTACTTCGACGCTAGCTTCTCTTGGTTTATCTGTATCTTGAGTATTAGACTTCGTTTTATCGGATCTTTTCTATTTGCCTGTTTTCGTCTGACCTTTCTCCGTTTCTCGCTTCTCAGTTTTTTCATCGTTCGTATCACTAATGAAAGCTTTATTCTCATTTATTGTCTCCGGACTCTCTGAAGACATTGCCCTTTCTATTTTTAATTTAGCGTCCGCTTGACGATACTCCATTCTTTTGTTTTCAATCGACTCCTTAGCTTCAGTTTCATTGCGCTCTATTTTATCATTCTTATGTATGATATCAGTTTGTATTATTTCTTCAGTTTGCTAGTTTTATTTTAGGCGACAAGACGATTTCCTTGGGTTCTTCTTTAAAATCGGTCTCCTTAGTAACTATTGTTGGCGTCTCTATAATTCTCGAAATTTCTTCGGTTATTTGCTCTGGTTTCGGGACAATCACTTTCTCTGTGTTATCTAAACACGTTAAAATTTTCATTTCATTCAAAGCTTCGCTTGTTGGCACTGTCGATAATGACTTCTCTTTCTATTTTACCTTTTGAAGCTTTATCTTTCTTGCGAGAATTAGCTTTACCTTTCACGTTGCCGTTTACCTCAACAACTTTTGCGCTGTCGAGCACTTTTGAATTAGGATCTTTGACTTCAGTATCAACCAACGATTTGTTAGATTCGGGAGGACTATTTTTGAGCATCTCTTTAACACCGTTTTCCAACTTCTCCCGATTCTTATTATTACACTTGACTTCAAGCTTCAATTCTTTCGACCTTGTTTTGCTCTTCGATGATGGTTCTTTCTTCGACGTATCTTTCTGTCTTGTCGTGCTTTCGGCTTTCGTAGTCACGCTTGGTCTCTCAATTATATTTTCCAACGGAGCCTTTTGAGTGTCCGATGATTTTGCAATTTCCATCGAGCTGCTTTTGTCGACGATATTTATTTTCTCTTTTGTGTCATCGCTCGGAACATTCGTTTGTTGCTGAACTCTACTCTCTGCGCTTTCTCCGTTACCTTCTTTCATATTCTTATCTGCTTTGTTCTTGTGCTTAGTCTTACAAAGGAAGTTGCGGAACTGTCCCCCTCCGATTTTGGATATGTTGTAGAGCATCAAAAAGTAGTCGACACATATTTTTTTTTATCGGCCATATATTGAGTTTAGGGGTTGAAACAGCCCCTTGAAAAAAAATGACTTTTCCATTTTTATTGAATATTTCCTAAAATATAAGGTATATGAAAAAATGTTTCTTACAAAAGTTGTACAGTATTTAACGCTCTTTGAAACAATATATTAAATTTTGTTCAAAAACATCAAATTTTTGAACCCCCCTCCCTACTCATTACGTTTGCAAAATTTGTTAGTTTTTGTAAGGACAAAAATTGTACAGCATTTCATACCAAATCGATCCATATATAATATTATAAGGTGGTCTCGATTAAATAGTTGGAAATCGTCGTGATAATATCGTGCTATACGCGTCATGCCGTTCAAGTAGATGGATACTGTAGCTAGATACGTTACTGTAAGTAGGGGAATGTAATTAATTGTAGAAAAATAATATATAGACAATTGCATATATTTAATGTATAATGTTTACAATTTATAATGTTATTATAATATTTTAAAATCATATAATTAATAAATATAATATTAAGAAAAATCGTTAGAGGATTTGCATACACAGAAAATAAATGTGTTTTACTTATGGCACATATTCGTAACAAAGGTGGTGCTCATGGAAGAAATGTGTGATGCAAAGTGATCGTTTGCACCAAGAACAAGTAATTATAGCAGTTTCGCCACAAATATCGTATTGTACTTTAAGATCTTTTTTGAAACAAAAATCAATCGGTGTCTCAAAGTCTGGCGGTCTAGTCTGTAAATGTCCACTTTTAAACCATGCAAATTTAAATAAATTTTGAAACCTAGGTGATGAGAATTGATGGTGTGTTAATGACTGCAATTTCAAAATATTGTTCCTATTATGAAGATCAATTGCAAAATCGAATAACATAACATTATCAGAGAAATATTTGATAAAATTTTTCCACAAACGGAAGCCATATACATCTAGTGGTTGTATTTTTCCCGTTGTACCAGCCGGAATTGTTAAAAAATATATATCTGTTGCAGAATCTGGTCTACTTTCGGCAATTATGTCCACTCCAAGAATCTAATTGTAATACAGATTGTGGCCCTACGTTCGGAAAGAAAACTTCTCTCAACCAGATTTTTACATGATTTGATGTTAATTTACCTGACTTTGAAGCCATTACGTAAATGTTAGGAGCGTTAAATAACGATTGCTGCACTCGTGGACCAAACGTTCCTATGGATTCTTTTAATACGATGAAAAGAGGCGACAATAATCTACCATCAGCAGAAATAGTTGGCTGTATTGTGTAACTATGCG